AAATATTTGCCTCTTTTGCTGTGTAATTCCCTAAGTGTATCACTTGGGTATTTCTCTAGACATAATCTATTAAAATGGCAAATTGTCGGGTAAAGTTTGTACTGTTTATGTGGTTAGGCAATATTTGGTCATACTAGAAGCATTTTCAGTGTTGAAATTGTCCATTTAAGAAAAAAAGAGGCCCACTTGAGGCTAAATTTAGATAGAATTTATGCTATCCTGTGTAACGAATTGTTCACATTCTTGGCAATTCATGCAGCAAATATTTCAATAGTGCTTCATTTTGTAGTTTCTATCTTTTATTATATCAGGCATATATTATTTTTCATTTTCTTCTGTTTGAAAGGACTTTTGTTGGAAATCAATACTCCCAAGGGACATAATTCTACTTTTTCATAGATTAATACAGGCAACAAAGGCAACTTTACAGCTGAGTATTTTGTATACTTAATGTTTTAAGTGTCTAATATCGTTGTTTTTATCATCTCAAGACAGAATAATGGATTTAATAACAAGCTCTGAAATTTTGAACCACAATATGGCATATACTAAAGCATGGAATGGAGATTAGTATGAAAAATCTTGAATTTGTACTTATGTTGTAAATTTTGGATAAAATGAATACAAATTGAATGGAATTGTCATTTTTATCTGTTTAATTGGAACTGTTTATATTTTTTTTTTTAAAAGATAAGATATGATTGAATACAGGTTGTTTATTAAGCCTTTATGAAAGAAGTAGAGAAAGAGGTAAACCAGCATGTAGGGGTGGGACATAAAATGATCCATGTTTCTTTAAGTAATGGGGACATACAAGTATTTATTATAGCCAAGGTTTTCACAATAACCCAGTAGTGTATTAATGGTGTCATAAGAATTCTTTATATCTTAATGTCACAGTATAGGGAAAACGGTACTATTACATTTTCCCAGCATTAGGTTGGCCTTTTGTGTACCCAAGGCAAGTGAAGGAAGTCAAATTAGGAGCGCTGTGATTGGATGTAAGGGTACAATATATTTTTTTATTTATCTATGAATAACTGCAGTGTGTATATTTACAATACAAATTTTAAAACCTATTGAAATATTTTCTAGAGAATTATTCGAAAAGGCTTCCAAAATTTTATAAATTTGGTGTAAAATGACGGTGGGCATGGATAACATAAACAAGCTCCGTTGGAAATTGGTCATGGTACTATTTGGCTTCAATTTTTAAAATAGAATAATAAAGTTCTAACACCACACATAACTGTTTTATCCAGGTTTTTATTATAAAAAGTGGTAAATTTAGAAAATGTTAGTATTGTCGCCTATGGCAGAATAAATAGTACCGTTTTCCCTAAAGAATCGAGAAAATTTGACCCGTCGTAAATTTACCTGCATATTCCAAGATTTATCGTTGTTTTAAAGTTTCATATATTTTATCGTTAATTATCGAGTAGTTTATACTTATGTGTATACTTAATTAAGATCTCAGTTTTCATAAATATTAAATTGGCTTATCATACATGTCACACCTTTGTCAACACTGCAATCAGTCAGTGTAATATTTAAAAATGTTGATGAGCCACGATCAATTGATTGGTGTCATAACCCGAACAATTTGCCTTTAAAGTAAAAATAAAATAAAAATAAATCCCGCTTACACGGATTTTTGTATATCTCTAATGATCAAAACCATCAATTTTGAGCATGCTCCAATGTACATAGTTTAAGTTCCTTGAAAGTTCTCTGAATTATGTGTATTTTCGTTTGAAGTGTAATCGATTACCTGTCAGTCAATAAAGTTTATGCCGTTGACATCCAAATCGGCATGATACAGTTCTTTTTTCGAGTGTATTTTCCCAATCATTGAAAATTATACACATTGAAAATTTAACCTGTCCATTTTGTCATCAAATCGCGAAAAAAGCGGACCCAAAAAAACCCGATGTACGGTAATTGGGCATGGATTATGATCAATATATTTGGAAATGTCAAGGGCATGGAAAGGGAATTCACTACAACTACTGACGCTCAGTAGTAGATGGATGCAGTGAAGCATTGATTTAATCGCTCAAAAATAGTTTATTACTCCTGTGCAATCCAAAAAGACATTTTATAAACTACAAACAGAGTTGTTTGAAGGAAGTTATATGCAACATCTGATACAAACGAAGGAACTTACTTATTTCAAAATGATCTATTTCTATGAAGGGCATAGCAGAATGCACCACTTGGGACAAAAAGACGAACTAGACAATTTCGGGAAAAGTTGGAAACTCGTGTAACAAGAAGTTAAAACAATAGGGAGATAATAATAGAGGGATTGTTTTTAACCGCTTATTGTCAGGCAAATATGTCATTTCGGCAAGCAGTTCTATCCTTGAAATTGATGACATTGTTTTTGTAGACAACTCATTATTTCGTGGGAATTAAAATAAAAACAAATAGTTCAAACCAAGTCGGGAAACCCAGTATGCGATGGATATAACAATTCGATAATAGAACATTGGACATAAAACTTAATTTACAGGAACTCATGGTAAATCAAGAAATCTTCATACAGATCCGTCGTATTGTTTCCAACAAATTACTAAAAATTAATCTTACCTCACAGAAACTGAGTGGCAAACAATTCATCAGAGCGATAAGCAGTATACCTTTTATTATGTTTATCTCATAACATTTTCAAATTTTTCTTATCAATATTATGACAAATTTTATCCAGACAAAAAATGTAATAAAGTGACGGTATCAATATTCAATTCTTTCAACCATTTGATATCATTTTCTTGGATTGGTTTTTGAACTGACTGTTCGCTCTGGATGAAAACATTCCTAACGATTGATATGCCCATGCGTAAGTTAGATCCGGCATCATTGATTCTGTTGATGTTTGAAACTGTTGAATTTGTCAAATTGATTATTATCAATCGAGTAACTTGTCAACCTATCAGTCTTGTGTGTTATTTAAATATTGGCATTGTCTATTTAAGGTTGAACGTAGTCAATAAAACAACAGCCTTTTTCAAACTATGTATTACAGTTTTCAGACATATTTTTGAACTAGATACTCTAAGAATGATACGGGCCAAGTTTTGTTCCAATTAGGCCAGAAAATGCGGTCAGAAACGAATATTTTCTTAATACTTAACGGACGATAAAGGAAGACATTCTCAAAGTGACTGCAATATTTAGATCAAACTGACCATTACGGCCTGTTAAGCTAAACCTGAAGAAGCAGTTATACAAGAAATGCCAGTTTTGATAGACAGTTGTCGTTATTTCAACATATGTAATACAAAAAGACAACTCCTGTGGTCTTAGAAAATATGAATTTTTATGGAAATAGAAAAGAAAATTGTAATCTGTGACTTACTTCTCATTTGTTGTGGGTCTACATTGTATTTCTATAGAATGGTTCGTTTCAAAAATACATTGGTAATCTATAAGCATAAAGAAAGTTTATTTAGTTACTTTAGTTATGTTTTGCTCTCTTTTTACAATCTTTGTCAATGCACAACAGCTGTTATTGCTAGTAAATCATGAGATTTATAATGTGTTTGGCAAAACAAATCTTTGTAAAACACAGATATAAAGCCCTTACATTGCAAGTAAGTTATATGTAATATTTTATGAAATTTTTTGCTATATATACAATTATTGTAGCGGTAAAATATCATAAATTATATACCCGTTAGTTTAACAATACATGTATAATTCAATTTTCCAAATTAAATGAAATGTATGTCTCCTCGAAATGTACTTGAACAAAAAGTTCCCTAATTTAACATGTAATATATGTATCAATTTATCCCGCTATACTTACACATTTGTGGGTGCTATAATATATCTCAAAATAGTTAAAGAACAAAATAAAGCAGGAATAAGATGCTAGTATTGCACAACTGTATATTTACAAACAATCGCAAAGAAATTATCAAATATCTTATGAATTATATTAAAATTTCACATTTCTAAATTTGAAAGCAAATCTTACCTGCTGAAAGCATATGACCAGTATTTGAACAGTTCCTTAAGTAGCAAGAACAATCTTCTTGTGATGGTTTACAAAAGCATGGGTTGTTTGGTTTAACCAGGAAATCATAACCTTGCCTGTAATCACATCTGCAGGTTAAATCTGTGTTACGATTTCCATTGTCGTATACAACTTGACCCTCCTCATTGCAGAATGATTTCAAAAATAAACAATGTGTACTAACATTTGTGTAAAACCTGATTGGAAATGGTTGATATCTTTCTTTAGAACATATATCTGCATCTATGCCTCCACGAAGAACTGCTTTTCTACCTGTAATGAATAAGTTAATACGTAATATCATTTCCTTCCTAGAGAATCTACAAACGAACTTTTTATTATCATGTTTGTTTCTGCATTAAACATGTTTTATAGCTTACTGTTCGGTGTGAGCCAAGGCTCCGTGTTGAAGACCGTACTTTGACCTATAATGGTTTACTTTTTTAAATTTTGACTTGGATGGAGAGTTGTCTCATTGGCACTCATACCACATCTTATATCTATTTAGAACTTTACTGTTTTGCTTTAGTGCTCATTATACACGCGTTTATGAAGCATCGTTCTCAAGGGATCCATCAAATGAACACTTTGCTGCACCTAGGATTATAGTTTTACTTAATGATTTGTTTAAATGTGTTTTCGATGAGTTTCAATGGTGGTGAGTAAACAGTTCTAGTGAAATGAGAAGTCATTCAAAAAATTTGCATTAATGGTAGTTTTTAGTGTTTTGAAACAAATACTATTACATTAAGTGTAAGTAAACATGAAAATAAATAGAGTTGGTATGCAAATACTTTTCGTTCGAAATTCAAAAGTATGTTGATGAGTCTAATGTAAACAAAACGCGAATAGGGTTTACAAAATTATAACCCTAGTATTTTTTTATGATTTAATGAGCGTGTGGTGTTCTTTTTGAGGATAATCATGTAGCCTTTTGAAAATGAAAAATGTAATTTCTGATGTTCTCGAATCGCATTTACCTGGTTGCTGAAAATCGGACCTTGTACAGTTCTCAGAATATCCGTTGATAAGGTCATTCTTTAGACAAAAGTATTTTGATGGATCTGCACAGTAACCATTTGCACGTTGTGCCCATTGCGCTGGTTCAGGGCATTTCAGCGGAAACGCTGCGCATAAATGTACCTAAAGTAAACCAATGATACATACATATCTTTATATTTTTTGCATTGATACATTTGTTACACACATACTAGCAATGGTATGTTTACCTATTACATGTCCCGGCATTGATAGATATGTTCTTTGAATGCTTGTAGATTTCTTTTGGAATCATAAAGTTTGTTTTCTCCTTTTTATATCAAAACTGACATCCAACAAAACCAAGTTAATAAAATTGCTCATTTACACGTAACTACACGGTCTATAAGTATGAACAATCTCAAACGACGTACGGCAAGCTCTAGATGTTTTATTTCATCTAGTCAAGATACTAACGAATACAACAGAGATAGCAAAAAAGTATCAAGCACCAACACCAAGTTATCAGTTTTCAAGATATTTAGGATACAGCATGCTAATGAGATTGGTTGTGGTTTTTTTTACATTAAAGAGGTTGGGGCTAAGACCCAGTCTGACTCAACCGTTTTGTATTATCTTGATCAGTAGTAGAACAAGAGATATCATATCACAATTCCCAATGAAAGGCTAACGAAAAAGCAAAATAATATTGGTATTACAGAATTCCGACTCACAATTTACCAAACGATAATTGTTTATTGCGTAACACACAGTATATATTGGACGATGTCCGTAGTCTTTCGGAACACAGGATGTTATTCGGAATACATCTGTTCTTTCTATGACCACCTTTCATATACATGCGCAATAGCTTATTAATGGACCTGTTGAATAAGCATTAGCATCTTAAAGTTGCTATAGAGATATGTTACATATGATGCGAAATTTATTATGATGCAAGCTTCTTTAATAAGCATTTGAATACTTCCTTGCACGCAATTAACAAGCTGCTAATATTTACCTACATATATGCGTACTTATTTTAATTAGAGTCGAACGTTGAAACCAGCTGTGTTTAGATATGAGATAAGATTTCATGTAAACAATGCGATTTATATTCGGAACAAGAATCGTTAAAACTAAAATTTATAAAAGAAGTATTACTAGCATTTCATTTAAGATTTTGAGTCTAGGGAAGATGTACTTGATGTACAAAGCAGGCTAATTCATTTTTTATACTGAAATTAAAAAGAAGTCTTTCTTGCACTTTATTAAAATTTTACGTCTAGAATAGACCAAGGACGTATATAATCTATTATACGTCCTTGAATGGATGTAAAAAACGAGGATTTTTCGAAAAAATATCGTTTATTAAAAATAACGTTTAAATTAATTATGAAAGTACATTGCACATTGAAATACAGTTATTTTCTTTGTTTGAATATTGCAACATTATTTCCTTTTTAAAAAACAAGGAGGTCATATAACCTCCTTGATTAAAATAACAAATCAGATTGTTATATGTATATCTGGATCCTTTTTCGTTATTATAATGTGAATAAATAGATATTGAATATGAAAAAATACTAAAACTGAAATCTAAATCTAAATTATATTTAAAAAAAAATACATTTGACAATGCAGATTAAAGAAATAATACTTCAAGCAATGAAATAACGAATTAAATGTGCCGCTTTAATTACGATCGATAACCTTAAAATTAATCATGCATGCAAATTCAGCAGACTTAACAGGGTCAGCGATAAGATGTCAAATGTCTATTTATAGACACCGAGTGATGACAGATGAAGGCAGAGATAAGAACAAATAATTTCTATTTATAGTTATCTGGGCCAGGGAACAGATTATCTAACCTGTAATAATTAAGGCTCTTCAAAATGTTCGTCAAAATAAAAAAAAATAATTATTATTTCTTGAAAACGATCAGATGATGAATTTTCGGTTTTAATATATTAAATACGAAAATGTAAAATAGTGCAAGGAGATTTTGAAAGACGACAGGATAATTGATACTTAGGTTTTATGCATGTAAAATAGTTTTTAGGAAATTTTGAAGTTTGTTTTATTTATGTTATATTTTTATAATTTTGACCACAAGTAGCAGAGCTTTGTGTGACCATTGTGATAATGTACCGATGTAAACGCGTTATCTAATTAATTAAAAGCTCCTGGTCAACTGTTCTCATAACTGTGTAAACTAAACTATCTCTGATGTCTTACATAACAGCTACGGTGTATGGGTTGTATGTATGTACACCAATTTCTTTTTCATTCAAGAAATGCTTCAAATCAATAGTTTTACATGGCTGGTCTAACTGTTTGTATTTTTTTCCTTTTTTTCCTTTGGGGATAAAGTAAGAATGGTCAGGTGCAAATGCTATGGATGTATTTTCAATATTGAAATGCAAATCATTATCTATAACTTTTAAATATTCCTGAAATTTATCATAATCGCACTTAAACAAATTACTAGAAGTTTGTTCTTCCTTGCAAGTGTTTAAAGACTCACCAGAACCATTAGTTTTACCTTCTTTATTGTTACCTATTTTGCTTTTCTTATTTCTTCTTAAACTTTCGTTTGGGACTTTGTTGTGAACTCTCTTTCCCCTAGTAGATTTTTTTTTGTTCTGATAATTTTCGTTTTTCAGTGCAATGCACAGTAGAATCCCTACCAGTACTAGTAGTAGTACTTCTCGTTTCATAGATAAATTCATTTAGATAAAGTAATACTGGCGATACGTTGAAGTTATTACCATTATACGTGTTTAAAAAAACAAAAGCTAAAGCATAATACGCAATAGCAGTGCACTGAACGCCCTCCTTCCTAAATACTGAATTTCAAAACTGCTTCAATATAAAAATCAGAAGATGTGGTATGAATGTCAATGACACAACTCCCTTTCAAGACACAATGTGGTACAATTAAGCAAAATTTTACAGGTTACATTTTTTCTTTCAATACAAGCCATCTCAGTGATAAGTAGGCTATACAGTGCCCCCAAATGACTAGTATAAAACTATCCAGCACGAGAGAAAAAGGATAGGTCAATATAAGAAACCTACAAGGCAACTTCAGTTTGTTTGAGATTGTTCATACTTATAGACCGTGTAGTTACGTGTAAATGAGCAAGCTCTAGATGTTTTATTTCATCTAGTCAAGATACTAACGAATACAACAGAGATAGCAAAAAAGTATCAAGCACCAACACCAAGTTATCAGTTTTCAAGATATTTAGGATACAGCATGCTAATGAGATTGGTTGTGTTTTTTTTTTTACATTAAAGAGGTTGGGGCTAAGACCCAGTCTGACTCAACCGTTTTGTATTATCTTGATCAGTAGTAGAACAAGAGATATCATATCACAATTCCCAATGAAAGGCTAACGAAAAAGCAAAATAATATTGGTATTACAGAATTCCGACTCACAATTTACCAAACGATAATTGTTTATTGCGTAACACACAGTATATATTGGACGATGTCCGTAGTCTTTCGGAACACAGGATGTTATTCGGAATACATCTGTTCTTTCTATGACCACCTTTCATATACATGCGCAATAGCTTATTAATGGACCTGTTGAATAAGCATTAGCATCTTAAAGTTGCTATAGAGATATGTTACATATGATGCGAAATTTATTATGATGCAAGCTTCTTTAATAAGCATTTGAATACTTCCTTGCAAGCAATTAACAAGCTGCTAATATTTACCTACATATATGCGTACTTATTTTAATTAGAGTCGAACGTTGAAACCAGCTGTGTTTAGATATGAGATAAGATTTCATGTAAACAATGCGATTTATATTCGGAACAAGAATCGTTAAAACTAAAATTTATAAAAGAAGTATTACTAGCATTTCATTTAAGATTTTGAGTCTAGGGAAGATGTACTTGATGTACAAAGCAGGCTAATTCATTTTTATACTGAAATTAAAAAGAAGTCTTTCTTGCACTTTATTAAAATTTTACGTCTAGAATAGACCAAGGACGTATATAATCTATTATACGTCCTTGAATGGATGTAAAAAACGAGGATTTTTCGAAAAAATATCGTTTATTAAGAATAACGTTTAAATTAATTATGAAAGTACATTGCAAATTGAAATACAGTTATTTTCTTTGTTTGAATATTGCAACATTATTTCCTTTTTAAAAAACAAGGAGGTCATATAACCTCCTTGATTAAAATAACAAATCAGATTGTTATAGGTATATCTGGATCCTTTTTCGTTATTATAATGTGAATAAATAGATATTGAATATGAAAAAATACTAAAACTGAAATCTAAATCTAAATTATATTTAAAAAAAATACATTTGACAATGCAGATTAAAGAAATAATACTTCAAGCAATGAAATAACGAATTAAATGTGCCGCTTTAATTACGGTCGATAACCTTAAAATTAATCATGCATGCAAATTCAGCAGACTTAACAGGGTCAGCGATAAGATGTCAAATGTCTTTTTATAGACACCGAGTGATGACAGATGAAGGCAGAGATAAGAACAAATAATTTCTATTTATAGTTATCTGGGCCAGGGAACAGATTATCTAACCTGTAATAATTAAGGCTCTTCAAAATGTTCGTCAAAATAAAAAAAAATAATTATTATTTCTTGAAAACGATCAGATGATGAATTTTCGGTTTTAATATATTAAATACGAAAATGTAAAATAGTGCAAGGAGATTTTGAAAGACGACAGGATAATTGATACTTAGGTTTTATGCATGTAAAATAGTTTTTAGGAAATTTTGAAGTTTGTTTTATTTATGTTATATTTTTATAATTTTGACCACAAGTAGCAGAGCTTTGTGTGACCATTGTGATAATGTACCGATGTAAACGCGTTATCTAATTAATTAAAAGCTCCTGGTCAACTGTTCTCATAACTGTGTAAACTAAACTATCTCTGATGTTTTACATAACAGCTACGGTGTATGGGTTGTATGTATGTACACCAATTTCTTTTTCATTCAAGAAATGCTTCAAATCAATAGTTTTACATGGCTGGTCTAACTGTTTGTATTTTTTTCCTTTTTTTCCTTTGGGGATAAAGTAAGAATGGTCAGGTGCAAATGCTATAGATGTATTTTCAATATTGAAATGCAAATCATTATCTATAACTTTTAAATATTCCTGAAATTTATCATAATCGCACTTAAACAAATTACAAGAAGTTTGTTCTTCCTTGCAAGTGTTTAAAGACTCACCAGAACCATTAGTTTTACCTTCTTTATTGTTACCTATTTTGCTTTTCTTATTTCTTCTTAAACTTTCGTTTGGGACTTTGTTGTGAACTCTCTTTCCCCTAGTAGATTTTTTTTTGTTCTGATAATTTTCGTTTTTCAGTGCAATGCACAGTAGAATCCCTACCAGTACTAGTAGTAGTACTTCTCGTTTCATAGATAAATTCATTTAGATAAAGTAATACTGGCGATACGTTGAAGTTATTACCATTATACGTGTTTAAAAAAACAAAAGCTAAAGCATAATACGCAATAGCAGTGCACTGAACGCCCTCCTTCCTAAATACTGAATTTCAAAACTGCTTCAATATAAAAATCAGAAGATGTGGTATGAATGTCAATGACACAACTCCCTTTCAAGACACAATGTGGTACAATTAAGCAAAATTTTACAGGTTACATTTTTTCTTTCAATACAAGCCATCTCAGTGATTAGTAGGCTATACAGTGCCCCCAAATGACTAGTATAAAACTATCCAGCACGAGAGAAAAAGGATAGGTCAATATAAGAAACCTACAAGGCAACTTCAGTTCCATTTCAATATTTAGATTATTCTATGGATTTGTCAAATGTCAGAGGGAATATCTGTTTTAAATGTGGTAGGAATACCAATGAGACAACTCTCCATCAAGACACAGTGTAGTCAAAGTAAGCAATTATAGGTTATAATACAGCCTTCAACACAAAGGCTTGGCTCACATTGAACTGCATCCTACTAGGGGCCCCAAGACACTGTTATAAAACAATTCAAACAGGAAAAATCAAATCTAATTTAACTTCAAACCAGAAACAAAAAGCAAATATGAACTGCACCAAAAAAAACCCTTCTAAACAAGATGCTTCTGACTTGGGACATGTGCTTATGAATACACCTGTTTTAAAAGAATTTACATACATACCATAAAACAGTAGTGTAACTTTACCATGTAAAAGACACCTTTTAAAAGTTAATGAAAAAACGTGTTCAAATCAAAAAAGGAACACCTTACAACAGTTCATAAATGTGGCCTTTAAACAAACTAATAATTAGAAATGGGCATTCAGTGATAATTTCAGGTTTGATTATGTTAGTTGTTTTGTTGTTTTGAATTTAGTTTGTTTATTTATAAGTACAAGGTGTAAGCTGTTTTGTCTAGGCTGTAAATAGCTTTCTTAATGAATTGGTTTTGGTCATCAAGGTGAAGAGAATACAGTGCAATTCAAATTATATATCTTTACAATTAAACTTGCAGGCCTTTTTCATGACCCACAATTTAAAAATATAAGAAAACATCAAAATAAAAAGGGACATTCAAAAAATATCTTCAAATCGAGTTAAAGGTTTTAAAAAGTTTTTGTTTTTAACAAAAGAGGTTTGTCATCTAAAACTTTTAAGAGCACAAAGCACACAACTTAAAATTGCCAATGCTTACTACCCTAAGCATCACAAAAACCTTGAAGAGCAGGTGTAAGGATCTTAATAATGAACAATATCAAGCCATTGTTCAAATAACCATGAACATATCTCAAATTCCAATAAAAACAGCTATTAAGTTTCACGTATTGCATTTCTTTTTTTAAGCACAAATAATCATTAATTGATTAAATTTCTTCACATTTGTATTTGAACATAACTCTTATCTAAAAAAAAACAATTATCTAATATTTAATGCCAAACAAGCATTTGGGTTTACGATTGCATTTCTTTTTTTAAAGAAAGCAACTTGTATATACATTGTTATATGAAATCAAAGAACGCTAATTAGCATGTTTATCTATTGACATAAAAATTCATAATATTAAATAAAACTAGTAGATTTGGCTAACTAAGTCCTTGTAATTGAATAAAATAACATTCAATTTTAGTGGAAAATTGTTTTAACGTTAATTAAGCTCCAATTAAAAATTGTTTGCTAGCCCTTCTTTGTGATTAATAAAAGATAACTCTGGTTAGTTTTCCCATAATTTTATCATTACGGGGAGATAATCTAATTTGGTTTTCATATATAGTCTTTTTCAAAAAATTTCAAATGCTTTATGTAGGTTACAATCACGTTTCTGGAATACAGTGGTCGTAATGGTGTTGTGTGTCTTTTTATTTGTTTGTGCGTATGTATATCTTTTGTGTGTTTGTTTTTCGTTGCGTTTGTTTTTTTTTGTGGGGGGGGGGCGGCGGGGGGGGGGGGGGGGGGGGGTTACACAGGATACATGTATTAGTCTTTAGGGAAGTCGCAGGATCATGCTGTTGGAGGTTAGATGATGCGGACAACAACTAAAACAGTGTATTATTGACAGCAGAATGATTACAGATGTCAAATGAAAATTGTGTTATTCATCTGAATAATTTTCCTCAAGTTAACAGTAGACAGAATACTATACATATATATAATGTATAACCATATTACGACTTGAAAGTAAACACAACGGATTAGTTGGCGGCAAATGCACACAATCTGTCCTCTCACAGTAGGTTACCCGATCACTCTAAGTAGGGTTTTTAAACGACTTCGACTCCCCATGAGGGTCGTGCACGGTCGGTAAAATAACCTTATAATGGAACTAAATAGTATTATTTACATTATAAAAGGCTCTTTATATTGGTATATAATAATTTTAAACGTTTCAAAACAAATAAATGAAATTGTAAATATACATAAATGTCTTTAATAAATACTAAAATCTTTTTAATTTATTAATTTTGTAATGATTTCAAATCAAATCAAATAACTATACGTAAAGATTATATTATGAACCTGTTCAAGGGAGACAATAAACGCATTTTTACTATAGACTTGTTGGAAATGAAACATAGTACAAAGGGATGTCACTCTTGCATACAAATGACACATAAAAAGAATAAATTAACACAACATTCGTGCGACTGCTTCTATGAAGATTCTAAATTATCAATATAACCAACAGTTGTTAATCTATAGGATAGTGAATGCTAACGAATGCTAATTCACAGTGAATTTTTTTAAAAACTACTCAGAAAAATGCACGAACTACCTGACTTTTATAGGTCATAATTAACGTGTTTAGACATTAATATAATATAGTCGTTAAATATTATTTGCCTCTAACCGTATAAGACACAATACAGATCGTATGCTTGCATCAACTTACCCAAATAGAGATTTAATTATTTAGCCTGAACATTTTGATGTTGTTTATTTTTTTATCCGTGTCGGTTTTTCAATCTTATTACAATTTCCTGTTAAGATTTGACTAAATACCCATATCCCGATATCGTCAGGTAAATACGCTACGCTAATATTTGATAGTGATCGTTGTTTAAAAACAAAAGGTTCATATAGCTTCGCCTTTTATTCTTTATAAAAATATTAAAAATAGACAAACAAAAAAACAAAAAGCAATACCCTATTTGATGACTGAAACAAACCCCATGAAGTTAATAAAATTGCTGCATTAAAATAATGCTTGAATAGTTATTTATCAAATCAAGTATTCTATAACGTAGAAGATTACAATATTTCAAAATAAATTGTTATTGGTCAGCTAAAAAGCGCAAAAACAAGCTCAAATATATATTTGTAAGCAAAAGAAGGAAGGGATATCTCACAAGAAATGTTTCAGATAATTATGATAAACCTTCGGTGACTTACCAACATCAATAGTTTGAACCACATAACTGTTGAATTCTTGTTTACTAGTGTGAAGCTACATCTGCAATTAAACGATTGACGCATTTAAATCTAAAAACTAATCCAAAAATTGAACAAAATCTTAACTGTAGTATAAACATATGTAATAGCATATATACCATTAACGTGCGTTCAAAAAAATTAATCGTTTTTGCTTGAATATGAAATGATTTAAAAGTGAATGATACATGTACATCAATTTAAGTTAAGGCCCTCTTCTTCTTGTCACCAAATTGCTGACGAGAAAGTTCTTCCTATAATATCAATAAGATAATAAAAAGGTGTAGCTAATCTACATTTGTATCAGGTTAAGGTACTTTGGTCTCAGACCTACCTGATGAAAGTTGTTTTGTGCACATTAAAAAGTAAAACAACAAAAATACCGAACTACAAGGAAAATTCAAAACGGAAAGTCCCTTAACAATTGGCAAAATCAAAAGCTCAAACACATCAAACGAATGGAAAACAAACGTCATATTCCAGACTTGGTACAGGCATTTTCATATGTAGAAAATGGTGGATTAAACCTGGTTTTTAAGCTGAACATCTTACGACTATATGACATATAAGTTAACGAACCGCTTCCACAAGTGAAGCAGGATCTGCTTACACTTTCGGTGCACCCGATATATACGTGATATATACAAAGACGTGATCTATGAATTTATATCATACGTTTATATATAATTTTCCTAATTAAGTTACATATACACGAAGGTGTTTGTAGATGAATTCGTTGATACTTTTTACAAGATTTTCTGCACTAAATATCAGTTTCATAATAGGTTATTATACTTGAGTTGTTAAAAGAAGATCAAAATTGCAACAACTCGTTTACCATGATGTGGATTTTTCGGCTTGATTAGGAAATATGATGGCATTTTATAAATTTCTATTTTTAATATTAATTTTCTTGAAATTTTGTGGAGGAAAATTATAGTGTCATTATGCTTTACACGGTTTTGAAGTAATGCAATTATATAATACGTCACGAAGGCTGGAAAAAGAAGGGAAGCTGAACATATCTGTAAACAAATATCTAGGATAAAAGGTGATCGTAAGAAGTTCAGTAATGGTAATGATTTATTGTCTACAAGAAACGCATCTTTTATCGAAGAATTTATGTATAAATAACCTAAATAAATATATTTAAGCATGTTAAATCCATTCCATATGGTGTCACGTTCTTTGCACATAAACGAAATGCTGATATACTAGTACATGTATTGTAATTTGTTGCATGAAACGCATTCTTCGACGAGTTTAAGCAAATCATCAACTATCAAACAATTTTACAAATCTTTCAATTGAAGACGCGGGTTTAGAGTTTAAAAGAAAGGCAAAAGATACCAAAGGGACATCTAAACTGGTTAGTCAAATATTAACTGACAATGCCATGACAAAAAAACTTAAAACAATCCAAAGTCAAACAACAGTAAACAACACACAAAATTAAAAAAAACTAAGTAACACGAATTCCACCAAATAACTGGGGGATAACTCAGGTGCTCCGTAAGGTCAAGCATATCATGCTCTATATGTGACACCCGTCGTGTTATTCCTATAACATTGTTTGTACGTTATATCAAGTGATAAGCCATCACGCAATAACGGATTGTAATTTTATTTTTATCTAACCTTAATACATCACGAAATTTATTAACCCTGAAACTTACCAAATGTGAACTTTTTTAAATTTGAAAATTTTTGTTAACTTATATGTCATTTGGTCTCTGGTGAAGAGTTGTCTCATGGGCAATCATCCTACATCTTCTTATTTTCATGAAATATAACAGAAAATACGGGTACCGTTATAAATATAAGCAGATCCTGCTTCACTTGTGGCAACCGTCTGTTTGATAATGTAAGCACAAACCCGCTGGTAAGTCTAGTTCGAAAGGTCACATTCGAGGAAAAGAGGACGTGATTGTGGTTATGACAAGTGGAACATATCCGTTGTCATCTGTGAAACGGATATTCCATAACGATCAACCAACTCGTGATAGCGTCTGAAAATTTTTTCTAAGGGATGATTTCAACTTTATCACTTGGAACTGTTAGTTTAATATCTTTCGTGTAAGCAGCAACCGTCTATGAAGGAAATCATTATACGAAATACAAGCTCTGGAATATCGTTTCAACTTGATTTGGATATATACACTAAAATATAATCTTTATAGTTTTTGAAGTTCATGTGAAGTTTAGATGTACATGCGTTATAGGAAAAAGCGAAAACAAATAATCAATAATCATAAGTTATCACAAAGTAAAGGTGTGAAAATGGCTTAATGTTCCAATTAATAATTGACACTGAATCATATTATGAAATCACATCAGCAAATTAATGACAAGAAACCCTATTAAGTGTTGTTTCTAAAATTGATCAAAACCTTGAAGATCATACCCAACACGAATGCCATACAAAACCAAAGTATTAAACTAAACAATATGATAAGCAAAAAACAAGCAAAACAACAAATAACAAATTCTTTCACGATGAGTAAGCCACAAATAGACGAAAATGACAACTTATCGCAAAATTATATTGCTCAGACCCTCTGAAATGTCTCAATGGTAGATATGTTGACAAACTTTTAATTCATTCATAGCAAATGAATAAAAATTTAATGAGGGATGTTTCATTTAAAAGCGATACTTGTAATGAGAATATATTGAAACTGCAACAAAAAAAAATCTATTCTAATATGATGTGCTTCTTTTGCTTTGTAAACAACACCGTGATAAAATTATCGATATATCTATACTTAGCGTTACAAGAGCGCAATTATTTGTTTACATTTTACCGGCAATTTTTTTACCCAAAGATGGTACTCAGAATAGAATCCTGTACGGCTTCTGATTGGATGATACAGGATTGGAATTACTTTTAATCGAAAGCTTATCCAATTAGGTTTTAAAAATCCAGAAAATCAAATTCACATTTTACAAAGTATAGAAAATATCTTCCATTTCTGCACGTCAGAGCCATTAAAAATATGCCTTTTTCATTAAGCGAAAAAAATAGACGATCTTTTTCAACTGCATTTTAAGTCAATTGTTGCCGCATGACCATATATATTTTTTTTTGTTATGCAACACTGGCATTTCTAGTAACAGGAACTGCTACCCGTTTTTTTCCTAGAGTGTGTAGTCTTCGAGAAATAAAATACGGAACACCACTGGTACCCTATGGAAAATGCATTACGAATAATTGCGCTCTTGTAACCTTAGCGCAGGCTCAGAGGTGTACATAATAATGGCTGTTATAAGATACCTCCCACCTAAATCCACATGTATCGTAACCTGTGTGCAAAAGCTATGCCGATTTCGCTGTGTTAAAAATTGCAATTGAAAAAAAACACAGAACCTTTATTAATATGCTGATGCATAACAAAAAGAATTAATGCATTAGAGCTCGAAAAATGTACAAAATAAAATTAAAATAAAATTCCATTGATGCTTTTGGCATATTAAAGTCATTTCAAAACAAGACGTCATACGAATGAAAACCCTAAAGCTGAAGGTTTTCCCGTTACGTGAACCCTCAAATTTCGGATAATATTGCATTAAAATAGAGTTTTGAGGTAGGTGTTAATTTATTTTATATTCTATTGCATTATTCGCTCATTTACTCATGTCAGCAAGTCAACATGGCGGCTCCTTAGTTACGAAATGTCAACTGTGGATCCGACGGTAGCTTACGACAACAAAAAATGTAAATTAAAAATGACAAATGCTGGGTTTGAGAATTAAAAGAATTAAACGCATTTTTTCTAGAGGTTATTTAAGAAATAATTCATGCAAGCTATATAATAATGGGAAATATTTAGCTTTATCTAACAGGGGGTAAATTAGAACAGCCACACACACAGCATAACCACCCTCTCTTCAATTTTTTTAAATTACCGTTTTTGTCCTATTAGAATCGAAATAATTGATGGAAGCCATTATGGCTTCCATGAATTATTTTTTAATTAGATAGTTACAGGAAGATGCTAACAGTTTACGTGTTGATGAATATGCATCAGGCTGTAGTTGAGAATGCAGAGGGTGATTCAAAATTAAAGGTAGCCAATACTTGTATGCAACATGAAACAATCAATAATAAACATTTAACAACAATTTAAAGAACACCGTTAATTCAAAACATCTTGCAAGTATTTATTCAAAAATTATTGCATGCGCGATATTGATATGACAGACTAAAGGTGAGAATACTTTTTCTGGTTACATATACTTATATAAGTGTCAGATTTCTAAATGCGAGTTTTCATTATTGCTATACTCAACTAGTCGCATTATTCGCAATAATAAAAACCTCGCAAAATTAATGAACTACCAGTAACTGAATGGAATAACTTGCTGCAAGAGAAACTTGAGGGTAAAATTTGGGCAGCTACTTATAGGTAATAAATCAATAAATGGGAACACTTCCTCTGAGTTTAAAAACCCACATTTCTAATGTTACTCCGAAAAAAAATCTTATCACCTTATCGTACCTTTTGATAACTTAAAGTATCCAAAGACAAAAGAAACGTGAATTGTTACAAACATAAAGCTTTGCTCGTAGGCACATCCAATATAAATAACATCCATGCAGTTAAACTGTCTATATCAGTTCTGGTCGATACAAACAGAAGGTATTATTGGGGTTTCGCCCTTTTTAGACAAAATTATGTTAAAGAACATGTAAAAACTATGAAAAATACATGCACAGATTATCAGTGGGTTTTACAAGAGAAATATTTCGTTAATTCACCATCAGATCTATATATTTGTTCAGTTTATATACACCACTTATTTAATCTTAATAGTGTTATTCATAATGGTATGAAGCTTAACTTGTTACACACAAATAAAGGGGAAAATCTACAATACCCCGTATTATAAATAGTATTATAGTAAAGGGCGATAACTCGGTTACCAGATCATTTCCTGGGAGTTCATGAAGGGGACAACTAAAGTCCTACTCTGTTGAAGATTTTCATTAACGACCTCCCATCATATCTACAAACATGGTTTTCCTGTTTGAATGGTTTTACGCTAGTCATTTTTGGGGCCCTTTATAGCTTGCTGTTCGGTGTGAGCCAAGGCTCCGTGTTGAAGGCCGTACTTTGACCTATAAGGGTTTACTTTTAAAAATTGTGATTGGATGGAGAGTTATTTCATTGGCACTCATACCACATCTTCTTATATCTATTTGATTCTGTGAAACGAAAATGTAATGATTTACATTGCTTAATATTTACAGATGATGTTCTACTTTTTCAACTGTAGTAGAGGGATTGCAATACAAACTTAAAATTTTAGAAAAACTAAAAAAAGATGTGTGTCCAGTTATAAATATCTGGGAATACCTTTCTTTCAGCTTCAGTAAGTTTTTCATTAACTTAAATTAGCGTTATAAAAAAACACTGAAAGGATGTTGCAAATTAAGAAAATAATGTTCAAGTATAAATCCAGTATGGGCTCTGGTGTACTTACATGTATTTAATCATACAAATACAATTAAACCTATACTACTATTTGTTTCAGAAATTTGGTGTTCATTTAAAATATTTAGATATAAACTGAATTAGAATAGCGGGTTTACTTCGTTATTATTAATAAATTAGATATAATTTATTAATAATAACGAAGTAAACCCGCTATTCTAATTCAGTCTCACTTAATTAGGATTGATGTTATAAGAATAAGAATTTACCATGTGAACAGTTACATGTCAAGTTTTGCAAAGTTATATTAGGCGTGCTAATTAGATAAAATGTTAACTTTGGATCACTATCAGAGCTAAGAAGGTTTCCACTACTGTAGCATTATAACGTCGTACAATTTAAGTTGAAATATTGTTACCAAAACATCTTGGTACTCCTCAATTACCAAATTGTTATACTTTAGATATTAAAGAAGGTCGTGAAAGTCCATCCCATTATTGACAGGAAATTCTTAAACGAAAACGTGCTTTTTCAAAACTTCTTTACTAAAGAGGTGACAAAAGTATCGACTAGTTGAATAGTGAAGGTTTTGCGCCATAATATCTGGTTTTACAACTAACTTTGCCTCTGAAGAGAATGTTCTATACATGTCATGTGATCATTTTTACTCATGATTTCTATCACTCCACTTAATGTATGCCAATGTAATAAATTGCAGGTGATAAATGGCTTCTTTTACTGCTAACTAAGAGGCAAAGTTGACTCTGCGTGACTTAATTTGGCTGCTCCCTTTGGCTCTATTCGGAGCTTATATTTCAAATATCGTTTTATCTTTGTTCTAACTTACGTTCAGTGTAGAGTGATCTAGATGAAGGCCTAGGGTTTCCAAGGTAGCAAAATTCCGTATGTTTTAGACTAAGATTTGCATATTCATATTGTTAAAATGCTAATGGACATTTTATATATATTCATTAATGTTAGTATAAAGTAAAATAACAAAAACTCCAAACTCCCAAGGAACGGAAAGTCCCTTAACAAATGGCAAAATCATCAAACGAATAGAAAACAACTGTCATATTCCTGACTTGGTACAGGCATTTTCTTATGTAGAAAATGGTGGATTAAACCTGGTTTATAGCTAGCTAAACCTCTCACTTCTATGACAGTCGCATAAAGTTCCATTATATTGACAACAATGTGTGAGCAAAACAAACAGATATAATTGGTAAAAATTGGGGTACAGCAGACAACATTGTGTTATAATCTTAATCACTAACAAAAAAACAAAATGACATGTAGACACTCTATAGACAAAGCACATCAGAAAAAATGAAAGACAAAGAATACAAAAAATGACCATAGCACAATAACACAATGGCGGGATGTATAAATTACGAGCCCTGCCAAAAAGATATTACCAAAAATGAAATAAACAGTAAAGGTTAAAAATATACAATGACAAATAAAAAGAACACTATAACACGTAATAAAGATGATAAACAACGTCAATACCTAGAATCTATACGTCAAGACCATCATGTATTATTTGGGAAGTTGATACGGAATATTTATCAACAAGGTCTTGGTATCTTCCGATGAACTTCTTTAGAAAAAGGACGAGACGTTCTTTGGCATAACCCTGGTTCATCAACTCTCTGCTCAGACACTGGTGAAGTTTCATAAATTCTGAGTAGCAGCTGCAAGCTCTTGAATTCCGAACGAATTGGGAAGTGAATATCCCATATGCAGGTGAAGTTGGCATATTGCTGCTAAGGTGGGGGACATTTATAATTACAAAATATGTTATTGCATGTTTTAACCGAAGACCATGTCAGTAAAATATTTACCTTACCATTTTCACACATTTTCAACACTATTAGGTCCGTTCAAAACATGATTCCCTTAACAAGAGACACGATAAAAATTAATCTATTCAACAAAACAGCCAAACATATCGTTAAATGGCGTCCTCTGCTGTTTCAGAGGCGATCTCGAGGGTTTCTGTGTTATATGAAAAGCAGCATTCTAAAATGTTTAACCTTCTTTTTTTCGTTAAAAAAATAGAGCATCATTCATTTTGACTAGACGGTAGCTAAAAATGTAAAATACACGCGCTTTGTAGAGTATAAAGATTAAAGTTCGAAGAGTGTTGTCTGAACGGCACCCCTTAATTACAGAAGAATTCATAGGTACCTTATAATTATTATTTAGAAAAGCATTTCTTTTATGCTAAATACAAACATTGACACATATTTATAAACCAAATCTCAAAACAGAAATATCTTAATAGTAGAAACAATTGTCCCAACACTTTCTTTATCATCATTCAGGTATCTAACGAGGTATTAAATAGGTTATGGATTTATGTGTTATTTTCATTACATCCATATCAATAATTAAAGTATCAAATGACAAAAAAACAATGAGTATGTCGTGACATATATGTATGATAGCAAAAATAGTACAATTATTTCGTTATCATATTTTGTTTTATTAAATTCAGAAGTTTGAATCCTTAAGACACCCCTGTTTACAGATTGAATTGATCATCCGGGTATATGTGTAAGCTATACAATTATGAACTATTTTAATTGAATCGATAATGTATATTTAAATAACCAAGTGACACACTTGATATTCTCTTGAGTATTTCATTTGTTATTCAAGGTACTAGTACTTTTAATGTGATTCTCTGTACTAGCTAAACTATAGTGTTGTTCATTTTTCTTCTCGAATTATTTACCTATAAGTAAAGTTTTGATTTATTTTAACACAAACTATCACACAGAGTTGAGAATGGAAATGGTGAATGTTTAAAAGAGACAACAACCCGACCAAAGAGCAGAAAACAGCCGAAGGCCACAAATGGGTCTTCAACACAACGAGAAAATCCCGCACCCAGTGGCGGGCTTCAGCTGGCCCCTAAACAAAAATGCATATTCAGTGAAGGATATGTATTAAATGTAACTTGTTTTCTTTTGTAATGTGTTGAGCTTAATGCGGTGGAAAATACTATAACTAGAACGATTTTAATTTAGAATTATATTATATTCTAACCAAGTAGTTTTCCCTATTGTATCAATCCAACAACATATCCACTTTACCACATATACGATATCCGGATGATGATTTTAACATTTCTTTAGAGAGTCTACATGTCCGTCGTCCGTCGTCGTCGTTAACTTTTTACATTTTGAGCTTCTTCTAGAGAACCACTGAATGGAATGAAACCAAACATGGCATGAATGTTCCTTATGATGTGCTGACCAAGTGTTGTTACTTTGAAGCCGATCCATCATCCGAGATGGCCGCCAGCGGGGGACTTGGCTTAACATAGGACCCTATGGACAATACATACAAATGTCTTCTTTTGGAAACCACTGATTGGAATAAAACCAAACATGGCATGAATGTTCCTTATGAGGTGCTGACCAAGTGTTGTTACTTTGAAGCCAATCCATCATTCAAGATGGCCGCCAGAGGGGGACCTAGTTTAACATAGGACCCTAATGACAATACATACAAATGTCTTCTTTCATAGAACCACTTAATGGAATGAAACCAAACATGGCATGAATGTTCCTTATGAGATGTTGACCAAGTGTTGTTACTTTGAAGCCAATCCATCATCCAAGATGGCCACCAGAGAGGGACTTAGTTTAACATAGGACCCTATGGGAAATACATACAAATGTTTTCTTTTAGAGAACCACTGAATGGGATGAAATAAAACATGGCATGAATGTTCTTTATGGGGTGCTGACCAAGTGTTGTTACTTTGTAGCCGATCCATCATCCAAGATGGCCGCCAGCGGAGGACTTCGTTTAACATAGGACCCTATGGACAATACATACAAATATCTTCTTTTAGAGAACCACTAAATGGAATGAAACCAAACATGGCACGAATGTTCCGTATGCGATGCTGACCAAATGTTGTAACTTTGTAGGCGATCCATCATCCAAGATGGCCACCAGCGGGGACTTAGTTTAACATAGGACCCTATGGGAAATACATACAAATGTTTTCTTTGTAGAGAACCACTGAATGGAACGAAACCAAACATGGCATGAATGTTTCTAATGAGGTGCTGGCCAAGTATTGTTACTTTGTATCCAATCAATCAACCAAGATGGCTGCCAACGGGGGACTTAGTTTAACAAAGGACCCTATGGGAAATATATACAAATGTCTTCTTCTAGAAAACCGCTTAATGGATTGAAACCAAACATGGTATGAATGTTTCTTTTGAGGTGCTGACCAAGTGTTATTACTTTGTAGTTGATTTGTCATCCAAGATGGCTGCCAGCAGGGGGAGTAAGTTTAAAAAATTAAAAACAACACGTTTAATAATTTCATGCGTCCGAAGCGCTTTTCTGGATTTACCTTCATCAGGAACGCTCAAAGCCAAACATTTGAAATCCGAGGATGTATAACTTCCGAAACCGTTGAAGAGCTATATGACAAAAATACCTAAAATAAATAGCCAAATTCATCTAAAGTCAACTTTGCCTGAGGGAGTTGAAACCTTAGTTTCTTAATAATTTCAAAATTTATAAACGGACAATTTTAGAAAGGTTTGTTAAATCATGTCAGTACCGAAGTACTGACTACTGAGCTGATGATACCCTCGGGGACTGATAGTCCACCAGCAGAGGTACCTACCCAGTGATGTAAAAAATTGAAAACAACACGTTTTATAATTTCATGCGTCCGAAGCGCTTTTCTGGATTAATCTTCATCAGGAACGCTCAAAGCCAAACATTTGAAATCCGAGGTTGTATAACTACCGAAACCGTTGAAGAGCTATATGACAAAAATACCTAAAATAAATAGCCAATTTCATCTAAAGTCAACTTTGCCTGAGGGAGTTGAAACCTTAGTTTCTTAATAATTTCAAAATTTATAAACGGACAATTTTAGAAAGGTTTGTTAAATCATGTCAGTACCGAAGTACTGACTACTGAGCTGATGATACCCTCGGGGACTGATAGTAGACCTTAATACATGTACAGTAGAGATCACTTCTAACCTCTCATCAAATCTGTCAGAATCTGTCAGGAGAACTGTTCTAGGACAGTATGTAGAACTGTCATCCTGACACCTTTTAGACAGTTCTAGCTAGAACAGTTCTAACCTAGAACTGATTTGGTCAGTTCTACCTAGAACTGATTTAGACAGTTCTACCTAGAAGTGATCCTGACAATTCTACCCTAGAACAGTTTTAGACAGTTCTACCTAAAACTGACCAAATCTTTGGTCAGTTCTACGACTAGAACAGTCCTACGGCTAGAACAGTTCTACGATTTGGTCAGTTCTACGGCTAGAATTGATTTAGTTAGTTCTATCCATAGAACAGTTTTAAGAACTCTTTTTTTTTTTAATTTTGTCTTAAATATAAATAAGTCAAAAGAATATAATATATATTAAAAAATTGCAGTGAAGTCATTTAGAACTGTTCTACAATCCTGACAGGTTTGGTCAGTTCTACGGCTAGAACAGTTTTAGACAGTTCTGCTGACAGTTCTACGGTTAGAACTGATTTAGTCAGTTCTGCTGACAGTTCTTCGGTTAGAACTGATTTTGTCAGTTCTGCTTACAGTTCTTCGACTAGAACTGATTTGGACAGTTCTACCTAGAACGGTTTTGGACAGTTCTACCTTAGAACTGATCCTGACAGTTCTACCTAGAACTGATTTGGTCAGTTCTACCTAGAACTGATTCTGACAGTTCTACTTAGAACAGTTCTAGGTAGAACTGTTCTAGGACAGTTTAGAACAGTTCTATGACAGATTATTCTGACAGTTCTAATGAGAGGTTAGAAGTGATCTCCACTGTATCTTAGATTGAGATCTACTGTAAACTTCAAAATATCAAGAAAAGAAGATCTACACATAAGTCAACATGAGAATATTGTCAATTGACGTTTTGTTGGAGTTATTGTCCTTATAAAGTCATTTTCTACAATTTCAATGAATTTATTAGTAATTTCTGTAAACTTTACAAAAGTCTTCTGCTTTTGAATAAATGACAGGGCCAATATTAAACCAAATTTGGCCTCAATCATTATTAGGGTATCTGTTATGATTTTAATCTATTTTTACATGATTTCCAAAACCAAAGAAGAATCAGGTGAGCGACACAGGCTCTTGAGAGCCTCTAGTTTTATGATGCAGTTGTCAGTTTTTCTGCGACTTATGAGTTTTGAATGTCCCCTTTGTAACTTACACATCTTTTTCAAAAGTATTTTTAATTTTTCTTTCCTCATTTGTCTCTGCATTTTTTCTAAAGATAAAGTAGTATACAATGGGGTTTACATCGTATCGAATTCAACCAAACTAGGGAAAGAGGAGTAGAACCGAAAAGATCTTCATTTCGGGGAAATTACTTCTATATTGAAGCGAATTCCGATGGCAGACGTTTATAGTTTTCATAAAAGCAAAAACTGATAAAAATGTCTTTAGACGCAATTATTGTTATAAGGAATCAACTAATGATATGGGCCATTTTACTTATCTATAGGTCTTGCTGGCCGTTTTTGCTGTTTAAAGTTTCCCTCTATCTGCAATTTGTCGTAGCAAAAATTGTAAAATAAATTGTAAAAATCGTCATTAAAGGCGACAGACAACTTCAGCCTTGAGACTTGTTTGTAGATGAAGCTGGCTTTTGTTTTGTTGTTTAAAGTTTCTCTCAGGCTATGTCAGTTTTTATGATAATAGCAAAATACGCAAAATTGGTTAAGTCGTCATTGAAGAAAAAACACTCCTATACGTAGTCGAAACACGATTTCGGTCATATTGAATTATTAGATCTTGGCTTGATGATCATCTTTGCCGCATTTTTTTTTTCTTTCTGTGTACTATAATAGTTTTTGCAACAATAAAAAAAAACTATGATTGGTTAATAGATAATACCCCCCCCCCCCCCCCCCGCCCTCAAAGAGCTGTTCCACTTGTTAATCGTGTAGAGAGCGTTGAAACTATGAAATTCTTGTTACAC